GTGAGTAATTGCGTATTTTTGCGTACAATTGCTTAAAATATATACAATAGTTACAGCTCACACTCAGGATGGATCACTTTTGAACACAGTGTATTTGATGAGCTCGTGTATTAATTTGACCGTATACTTTTTAAACTGTTATCAACGTGTCTACTAAATCATTTTTTTTCAAACAGCATAAACCCTAGGAGTTACATAAATTTGACTTGAAAAGTGATATATATATATATATATATATATATATATATATATATATATATATATATATATATATATATATATATATATAGTTCACCTCGACGCGAAGTCGGAGTTGGCGTCCCGACTAAAGCGTTTGGAGCAGATTTCTTCCCAAGTAACAATATTCCCGCCATTGATCCGAGTTGCATGGATGATGCATGTTTATTTTTACTTCAGGTTTCAGTTTCTGCATTTTCAGCCAATATTTTCCAGGAGAATGACCAGGTTCAGGTATTTGGAATAGGTTTAAGTTTGAAGCAGCTTAAAAGTTTTATGAGCAGGTCTCATTCTCAAGTAACTGTAAGCAGTATGGAGACTACACTTTGATCGATGATGTATCTAGGGATGCACAAAACCGGACTTGCTTCGGAAACTGGATCTATCCGACATTTTCTGGATGAATGAACATGTTTTAGGTTTTAAAGCAGGTTGATTTCCAAGTAACTATAAGCCCTTTTTTGATCAAACGTGCATGCATCATGCATCAGTGAGTAACCAGGTTAAAGATTTTGGAGCAGGTCCATTCCCAATTAGCCAGAAATGTATGGTGACTGAACTTGAATGGAAGATGCATCAAAATACGCTTCGGATGCTGAATCTGACTTAAATTTTCCGGATGATTGAACAGTTGACGTTTTTGGAGCAAGTCCCTTCTGAAGTAATCATAAATCCTAACCAGACCAAACTTGCATGAATGTTGCATTTAGGATGTACATTAACAGAACACTCGTTAAATGATCGACATTTGGGCAAAGTCTCAAACCAAATTACCTTACTTATGGATAACATTCATGAATCTCGGATTACCCATTTTTATTTTCTAAATAGTAATATTTCTTTAAAAAGGTGATACATAATGTGTAATTCTTGTATCTACTGTATTTCAATGGAGAAAAAAAATACTCGGGAGAAAAATTGGCACTGAACAATGGAAATGTTATATTTATTTCGGGTTGCATGCTAGTAAGATGTACAAATATCATTTCGGCATTTTGTGCTATGTAATAAAAAAATCCCTAAACAATTTAAGGAATTGTATGTATTCTTTAGAAAATCGGTCGTTTATACTGCTTTGAATTCGGATTAGAAAAATGTATCATTCATCAGCTTGTTTGCATCCAATATCATGGAGAAAATAGATGAGACATTTGGAAAAATTATTCACATATTACTGCACTTTTTGTTCTCCGCTTTTACTCAAAGTGGAGATATTAATTTTGGTCTGTCTGTCTGGCCGTCCGCCTAGCTGTATTTCTGTCTGTCTGTAACACTTTCGTTTCGCCCCGTTTTTTTCCTCCAAAATTGTACACAACACATGGTGTCTAATTTAGCCTTTATAAAACAGTTCTAATAGATTTACCATGTAATTATATGAAGTCCGCCGACGTGTTTTTATATGTAATAACTCTCCAAATGCTCCTCTGCTAAAAAATAGTGCTACTTGACTTTAAACACAAACAGGGAGTAACTCTTAAACTTTGAGCGTGATCGATGCCAAAAAAATTCCAAATGACTTTTGATTAAAATAAAATGACCAAAATAAAAAAAAATCAACGGGGCGAGACACTTTGAGAGGGGCGGGCGGGGCCATAGGGAGTTATGGTATAAATTTTCATTGCAAAAGCTCAAAAGCTTCCCAAAGTATCGCCCGAAAAAGAAAGTGTTACTTACAGACAGAATGTATGAATTTATGTCCTTGAGCTTTGGACCTCAAAATCAATAGGGGTCTTTTTTAGGCCATATAGGGAGTTCGAGTTGTGGTATAAAATTTCACTACAAAAGCTCAAAGGCTTCTCGAGATATCGCCCGGAAACGAAAGTGTTACAAACAGGCAATGTATGAATTTATTACTTTGACCTTTGACCTTTTGATCTCAAAATCAATTGGGGTCTTCTTTAAGCAATAGGGAATTGTGAAACTTCATTGCAAAAGCTCAAAGGATTCTTGAGATATCGCCCGGAAACGAAAGTGTGACAGATAGACAGAAATACAGCTAGACGGACGGACGGACGGATAGACAGACACAAATTAATATCCTCCACTTTCAGTGAAAGCGGGGGGCAAAATTGGACGTTATAATTATAAGGACAGTGGAAATCTGTAAAATTTTCAGACGAAGCACAAATATTTGTTGGTCAAACGATAAATATATATTTAGAGAAAGGCCAATGAAAAGTAGTGAATAACACGTAAAGCACCAATATGCACAAAGTATTTGGATCCACGCCTAATATCATACCAGCAGTTATGAAATATGGCATGTACAAACGATCTCATAAAATCATTCTTACAGTGTGATAAATATTTTATATAAAAAAAGAATTAAATTTTTTTGAACACATTTTAAAGAATAAGCAATCAAATCTATGTATCCATATTAGCATTTACAATGTAAAAATTTTATATGGAAAGATAGTTATGGAGATGTTTACAGTAATAGAAATGAAAATAAAATCCGCCCACCCGCCCCAAATTTTTAAACAAATTAGGACGAAAATTTATGTGGCCTTAAGACCAAAAACTGAAAGGTCATGGTTGACATTCTTTCTGCATCTGAAAAAAAAAAATTCAATTTCCTCCACCCTCTTGTAGGTGTGGATCCAAATTTTTTTTCGGGGGGGGGGGGGGGGTGTCCGCCCCAGTCAAAAAAATTTCCAGCCCAGAAAAAAATTATAATAATAAAAAAATAGAAAATAATAATAAAAAGTAATAATTTTAAAAAAGCATAAAAAAAAAAATAAATTAAAAACCTAAACTCCTTCCCCAACCGTGAAAAAAACTATTTCTTAACAGAGGTCCATGTTTTCTGGGGGTGGGGATGGGTGGGGGTGGGGTCCAAAGAATTTTTTTATTTGCTTCAGAATATACATTTAATAGCTCTGCAAATCCGGGGGTGGGGGCATCAGGGATGGGCACGATTACTGAAAAATGTAATCGATTAATAATCGATTACTTAGAGGAATTTTGTGTAATCGATTATTAATCGATTACACTCATTTTTAACCTATAATCGATTGTAATCGATTACTTTGGAAGATGTAATCGATTAATAATCGATTACTTCCAAGTTTTTATCCCTTCAAATATCAAAGCAATATTTTAATGGTAAATGTTATTCACTGAAGTTTGAATGTGCTCCTTTTTAAGTTTTATTCTGGGCAGGCTAACATTCTCACTAAATGCCCAAATAAGGGATTCTCTACCATGAAAAGTGGAGACATGATTCCTATAATAAAATATGCCTAGGAATTTATTATTCCTTTCAACCTTGGATCTGAACCTCCATATTTATTGACTTGTTGCAAAAATTATTTAATATTTTATTATGAATTACTTCATTAGAAGTATTTGGGCTGCCCGTATGTTGACAGTACACATTAAACATTCCTGTGCGTGTCTTTTTCAAAAAAAAAAAGTAAATTAGAACTCTTAGTAATAAACATGTAAATTAAATGTGTCTTTAAGTAATGAAACAAATAACAAAATTTCATTCTGTATTGAAATAAGTGTTTTGATAGCTATTAATTGTTTTAATAATATTGTTTGTCTTCATTGGAATAAAAGTTAAACACTAGGTAGTTCACGGTTTACACCTCATTATCTGCAAATCAAGGATGTCTCAGTCAATTAATTAGCCAATTAAGATATATGTAAGCAAACACAGTGACACACTCCCTCTCTTACAGACACTTATAACCTCTCACTAATATAAAAGCAACCTTACAATTTTCAATGAAAACATGAGAATGATTTTGCAAATTTTAAAGTTACAACACAAGTTTGAAGTTTAAACATTTTCAGACATTTTTTTTCGAGTACAATGTAGTTTATTTACCAAATTATTTATATTTAATACAGCACTTAAATCTGTTTTTGCTATTTATAATTTTCTATTACAAGACAAAGTTTTTCTACATCTGAAATATGAAAAAGGACATGCAGCAAGAGGATGGGTCAAATGCAAATTGCACACGAAAAATCTGTACAATTATTTTATTAATAAATGGTTGAAATACACTAAAGGCTTCTGAATTATTTAATACTAGACCAGTAGGTCTATAATGCAAAATTTATTGAGAACATTATTAAACTTATGATACTAAAAGTTAGGAAATCCAAACATTACACTAGGTGGTTTATATTTGATATTTATGTGTGACTGACTGGAAATAATTCCCCAAAATAACATCCATTTATGTATAAAATAATCGAAACTAATCGAAAAAGTAATTATAATTACATTGAAAAATTTAGCTGTAATCGATTAAATTACGATTACAAGTAATCGAAAATCTCTTCGATTACAGATTACTGTCGATTACTTGGAAAAAAGTAATCATTACAATCGATTACGATTACTCGATTACGATTACCCCATCCCTGGGGGGCATACGCACATGCTCTTCTTTTTTTCCTTAAGCGGGGGACATGCAATGATTCTCTGAATTAGCTTGTTATGAAATGTTTGGCGAGTTTACAACTGAGAAGGACGAAAATGTCAACTTTTCAAGATGGTAAGGAGAGAAGGAATGCCATAAAATTTTCGGAAAAGTCGGTTCGCCTATGATTCGGTTAGATTTTTTTCAGATAATTTTTGTGGAATTAGCCAGTGACCCGCTTATAAGTTGGTACGGTTTTTTGCCAAAATTTGTTCCAATTTCAAATCAATATATTTACCTTTGTTTCAAAGTGCATGTATGTTTTGATTATTTCATTGAAGACTACACCCTGTTCTTCCTGTAAATATACATCGACTATTG